TACAAATGAAGTTGGTGACAGGAAGTTATCCTTAGCCTGCAGGGCAACCCAAGGCAATTTCCTTTAAGATATCTAAATAAATGCAAGTAAAAAGATCCTTTTAGAAAAAAAAGTATCATCCAAGATGCAATTAAAGAGTGAGAAGTACCCATTAACAAGAAAGGGATATGAGTACACCAATACACTGAAAACAGTTTAAATGGCCACAAGGAAGCATCAATTAAAACAACTGGCAATGTGCTCACTTCTGAAATAGTTCACTCACAACACATGAAGTGGTAAACGCTGTCTGAGCACTCAGGGTGCTTAGCCAGGGCACTCCAGGGGCTCTCACAGCCTCACCTTTTACAAGCTAGCTCAGACTATGCAGGTGCCCAAACAGCTCTGCGTGGGACCTCGCAGTGTGGATTACCAGACATAAATCTATGAAAAATAGGTCATCAACTTAAAGAATACATCCTATTTAAACTAAATGCCACAAAACGAGGTCTTCGATCAACAGATCTTTTTTCTAACCTTCAATAAAAACCCTACATTAGCCAGGCGTGGGGGGGCACACTTTTAATCCCAGCCCTGGGGAGGCAGTCAGGTGGGTTGGAGTTTGGGGATCTGCCTGATCTACATATTGAGTACCAGACCTCAAAACAAGACTTAGTAGCTTTTATAATGATGCAGCTTATTTAAACAGAGAACATACAATTCCTTTGGCTATCACCATCTCAAGTGTAGTGCTTGTTTTATTAAATTTGCATGCATGCCAACATGCATCAGCCACAGCATACTGCAGAGGTCGGAGGACAACTTGTGGGAGCTGCTTCTCTCCTTCCACCAAGCTCAGGAGGTCAGGGACTGAACTCAGACGGTCAGGTTAGAGGGCAGGCACCCCCAGACTCACTGAGGCATATCGCCCACCCAGGTAGCTTAGCCTTATCATTTGCTTTCATCTTCCTAACATCTCATGGTTCAGGGGAGGCCAAGAAACTCACCCATAATCACAGAGCTAGTGGTAAAACCAAATTCAAACCCCACTGTTTATAAAACACTACATATGCTATGGCCGATTCCGGTTAGCTGGGAGGCAGTAAAAGCAACCTACAGTACAGCGAATGGCACCTGCAATGACATCACCCTGCAGGGGTGAGCAGAGGAGCACAGGTGCCTTATGGAGCAGCTGGAGTTCCTGGTTCCTAATATAACCAGGAGCTCACACCATCTACACATTCGGCACACACTACACTGTGCTGTTAACGAAAAGAAAAACCTCAGCCAACTGACTCCAAGTTCATGTTCCTAACTACCAAAGCACCTTTATACAGCTCAGAGAGCCTTGCTACATTCTTAGAACTGACTACCTTGGTTAGCAAGGTTTTTGTTTTGGTTTAAAAAAAAGTAAAGAAATCTAAATAAACCCAGTTTAAAATGTCATAGAATGGAAAGTGCAAAGTATCGATTTCCTGACTACTGGGAATTTCCCCTCAGAAGAAAAAAAAAACCTGCTGAAGGGAATGTCTATAGAGACCCAGAAAATAATTTGTAATAATTTATTACATTTACATAAAATGTGAACACCTGAAAGTACATAAACGTTAAAATACGCATTATATTTAATCAGATACAATGCCAGCTCTCTCAAAAGAAAACTTGGATTTTGTCACAATAATGAAGCCACGCCAAATAAACAAAGCTGACAGCAAAAGTAAAAAGCTCACACACAACAGGGCCAACACACAGCTGAAGAACAGGGAGCTCAGCAGGAGTAACTTTTTCCATGGGAACTGCAGCAGGACCCCAGTAACAAGTCCTCCATCACGTCTCAGGCTCTTCTCGGGCTCTGCTCAGACTGGCAAAGCTTCCCCACCAGTGGTGATGATGAAATCATTACATCAGTTCTCAAAAAGCCTCACCCCACACATGCACACACCTCTTACCCAACAGTAATTGCCTCTCCAGAGAGGCATATGCTCATCCTACCATTTTAATACATTTCAAGCGCCGGCTCCAGAAGAGGAGAAGAGACATTAAGAGCTACATCCAGGGTAGAGCAGGGTGAGCTGGGCTATCTCCTTCACTGGGAGATTTCTGCTAAGCAGTTCAGAAATATTTACAGTTTCAATTCATGCTTTAATCCGTACACACCAAAGAAAATGCCACACAACTGATCAGTGCTTTCTGACCCCAAAACAATTAAAAAAGACAAAAGACCACTCTAATAATTTCTGAGTTTTGGCAGTTTATACACCGCTATTTGGGTGTTTTAATGGGTGTATTACCAAATACTAGCCTTACCAAATACTAGCCTGGTTCCAAAATCTCATATTTATGAACTATACTTAGTAATTTTTGAAGTATGAACAGATATCCAATAAAGCGGTTTTAAAATGCCCAAAGAGGCAAATATTATGCTCATTAAACGAGTTATGAAGAATTGACAACACCCACCCAATGTGTCAAAACAGATCTGATAGAGATCCTAAATTACGGATTATTGTTTGTTCCTGAGATACAGTCTCTCTACGTAGCCCTGGCTCTCCTAGAATTCCAAAGATCATGCCTCTGCCTCCCAAGCATGGGGTTTAAAAGGTGTGGGCTCCATACCCTACCCTAAATAACAGCGTAAAACCAGACTGGTAGCTGTTTCAAAGTGTATTTGAGAAACAAAGATTCCTCCTTTCTCTCCATTATTTGAAAAAAAAAAGCCCCATAAATTTCTAATATAGAGTATCCCAACTTTAAAACCAACTAGCATCATTTTAAGATGAGCAGTCTTGTCTCCTAATATAACTCTTAAACACAACACACACACTTGAACAAACAGTACAGTAAAAATTCAACAGTAAGTTATCCATTCCTCTTCCCTATTTTTAGCATAACTGTCATATGTTAGAATTAGGGGAACCCAAATGTCTTTTGAATTTTTTGGTTTTTGGAGACAAGGTTTCTCTGTGTATCTCAGGCTGGCCTAGAATGTAGTGACTGGCTAGTGGAGATCAAAGGCATGCATCATCATGCCGGGTTTTGAATGACTTTTTAAAACAAGCATATCTTCAAAACCATAAGCCATCTATACGCCCAGGCCTTCAAAAGCACGGGGACTGGGTGAAAGACATTCATAAGCAAATTATGTTTGTTTTTCTCAAAGACTACCTCATTCCTTAGGTCTTAAAAACCTGCTATCTCCATCTGTCAAGCTTGGGTGATTTCAGCCTAGAAAAATCTGAATGGTTCCAACAACTGATTACTGTTTTTGGCAAACAGAAGCTGAACTAGCGAGAATTTCATCGTGAACTCTTTAAGCACTTTAAGCATCCTATTTGTCCTCAAAAACAATCTTACAAAGCAAGTATCCCGTTCCGAAACAAAGTAAGGGGAACAAGACTCACTCGGAAAAACTGATTTGTCATTTAACAGCACGTGGCAGAAAACAAGCTAGTCAAAGGACTCAAGTTGAACGGATAATTCGGCATTTCATTATATTTGCCATCTGCACAAAAACACTAAATTAAGAGCGGCAGGCAGAGTCCTGGAGGTGGAAAGCAGTATTCCACGCTGGGAAAGCAGTTCCGAGCAGATCTGCTGATAAAAAAGACCACCGCGCTGGAAAGTTACTCAGGCAAGTTCTACAGGGCTCTAGCACCCTTGTTTGGTCTTAAAACCTAACCAAATATAAAGAGCTCTGGGACTGCGCAAAAACTTCACCAGGTTTCGATCTAAAAAGAAACAGAAGTAGGGCTGGGACAGGTGGGAAGCGACCGAACTGCCTGGGGCGGTTCCCTCTCACTCTGAGTCTGAACCCCACTGGAGCACGCTCTGGGCTGGGCTCTGGTCCCACCCTCCTACTCCAGGCCCAGGGGTCTCACCTTTAACCATGCCATCACCTTCCGAGGCAGGCGCGCGCACACGCACACGACCCCTGAAAGAATCTCACACACGCGCACATACACAGGCACACACACACAAAACCCCTGAAAGAATCTGTTACACCAGGAAGCCCACTTTCACCCACTGGCTTGGAAAGCAGAAAAGCACGACTTGTGAGGGGTTAGGGGGGTGCGGTGTGGCAGGAGAACAGGCTTAGTCGTTCTCATCAGTCTACCAAGTTGGGGGTGTTCGAGCGACCACGGCAGGCGGGGGAGCCACCCTGTATTGGGGGCAGGAGCCGAGCCTGCAGGCAGCCCAGGTTACAAAATGTGTGCTTTCCACGATGACCTCGCAACGCCGTGACACTCAGTCGTCTCCACTGAGCTTCTTTCCACCCAAGACCCCAGAGCTCGGAGGATCCCAGGAGAGCGCAGCTGACCCGGTGCTGGGGGTTACGTCCTCCAAAGGGTCCCCGCCCTGTAGGCGCTCCCACCTGCCAGTCGCAGGGCCAGCTCCCCAGGCCCTGTCCCGAGTCTGGTTAATCATTCAATGCGGGCGGCGTGGAACATTTCTTTAGAGGTCAAAGCGAAAGGTTTTCCCCAAGTTTCACAGAAGCTAGTCTTTGGGGACCCGGAGGTAACAGTGTCAGAGCCGGGGAGGAGGGGGGTGGAAAGCGGCTGCCAGCGGCTCGCAAACACCTGATCTGCCCCTGCGGCACCCGAGACCGGCGCAGTGCGCGGACGGGCGGGCGGGCGAGCGAGCTGGCGGGCGGGGCGGCTCACCCACGCGACGCTCCCCCGCCGCCCAGGCCCGCACTCCCGCGCGGGGTGCAGCGCGGCCCCGGGTGTCACCGCCCTCTCCCTGTGGGTGCAGGAAGAGCAGGGGCCGAGCAGGTGAGAAGGTCGGGAAGGAGGTGGAGAGCCGAGACTGGGGAGGAGGGAGGCCGGGCAAGAGGGGAGCCGCCGGGAGGAGAGGAGCCCGGGGAAAGGATGCGCGGAGGCCGGGGCGGTGGGGAGCCTGGGGGAGGCGCGGACGCCGCAGCGGCCCCCGAGGGGCGACGGGAGCGCGGGGCGCCCGCACCGGCCGGAACTGGGGCGGTGGCGGCGGCGGTGCCGGGCCCGTGCCCACCCGCCCGGCCCTACCTTGTCCAGGGGCAGCTCCAGGTCTGCGGGGCGGGGCGGGAGACCGCGGCCGCATCCACGTCCCAGCCGCGCGTGCGGCTCAGCCCCGCGACCGCCGCCGCTGTGGCTCCATGCACGACGTGGACGGGCGGCCGGCGGGGTCGGGGCGGCTCCGGCTCTCGCCTCAGCTCCGGGCACTTGTTGCCGCCGCCGCCGCTGCGCCTCACTCCCGGCCGCGGCTCCCGGCGCCGCCACCGCCGCCGCCGCCTACTGCGTCCCTCCGGCCCCGCCCCCGCCCGACGCACCAATCAGACGCCGCGCCAGCCGCGCGCGTCACCGCCGGGGCGGCCGCGCTCCCGCCCCGCGGGCCAAATTTGGGAGAGGACGAGGTCGCCCCCTCCCGCCGGTGGGCTCCCCGCTCCTCACCGCGCTTAGAAAGCCCTGGCTCCTCAGGGGGGCTCGGTCTCCAAAGACGCGCCCCCAACCCCCCGAAAACCAGCAGCGGCGGAGTCGCAAACTCTGCCGAGACTCGGGGTCTGGTCCTAACTTCAGCTACCTGAGCCCCGCCGAGCGCCGGCGCGACGCTTGGTGAGAGCTCGGGTGGCCTTTCCCGGCCCCGGCCGGCCCGTGTGGCTAGGCCTGGGCAGCTCCGGGTGGCCGGTGAGAGGGTTGAGGGCTCCACCTCGGGAGGTGAGCAGAGGGAAACCGGGGTCTAAGTGGACCTGACCTTGGCTCTGCGCACCCGGTACTCGCAGCCCCCCTAGCTGCTCACAGCTTCAGGGTGGTGGTGCCCGCTCGGCCCCTGCGATCCTTGGGTGTGAAGCCATCAAAGACGTGGGTTTTCCACGTGGTTCCACTCGCGTGCCGGGAGCTGGGTGCCCCGTGCCATCCCAACGCTGACACTCGGAAACGCCGCTGGCGTGGGCACTCACCGCACCCACGCGCAGAGCGCACGGGACTCTCGATACTCGCCCCTAACCCAGCGCCTCCGCAGAATCCCCCAAAGCTCCGCACGCCAAGGTGAGGACCCGGGGGAAGCCGGCGAGACCGGATGGAGAAGTTGCTCTAGTTTGCGAGGCTTGGGTGGGCCGGCCTGGCCGCCACGCCCTGAGCACCCAGCCCCGCCCCGGCTCGGGGCGCGCCTGGAAGCTTCCCCTGCATCCTTATCTCCCAGGCCTTAGAAAGACCCTGGAGGTAATCCCGCTGGGAAATGAACACTCCACACCTGTTTGATATTTTGCAGAAGGCTGAAGGCTGTCAGACGGAGTTAGCTAAAGGAAAGCCACTGACTTTCCAGCGCCGGGGGTTGGATTTCATCTCGCTGGACCACGGAGTCCTTACCCTCAGCGAAACTCAGCGGTGAAAAGAAGTACTTGTTGTTTTGAATGTGTCGAGCCACGTGGATGGGGTCATCCAGAAGGAATTCTGAGTCGGTGGCTCTGGGGATGTTAAGATTGGCAGTCTCCAGACCGAACTGTTTTTATGTTGGTCACGTGAAGCCCAGGAAACAAGCTGGATTTTTGTCTGTTCACACAAACTGTTAACCATTGTCACCCTGGGCAAGAAAGGAAGGGAAATTGTATACCATCCTTGGGATTTAGGGGTCTTCCCCCCCCCCACGATTTTATTCATAACTCGGAAAGCTAATAGAACATTTTAAAAGAAGCAAATCAGAAGTTAGGTCTGTGTCCTGGCTCGGCTGCAGGCCGCTGTTTTGATACATAAATACTGTGAGGAGCTGGACTCCCTGCTGTCAGATGCCAATGTTTCCCCTTACATGCGCTCTTCCGTAGCCACAGCTTTCAAGGATTTGCTAGCCAAGGAGTTTTCAGTAAAGTCAGCTGGCAAGCAGCAGGGAAATAAAGCTTCAGGCTTCCACAGCTGCCAAAAGCTGCCCAGGCCCTGAAGTTTGAAAAAAAGAAGAGATGGAAAGCATTGTCTCCGTGGTGCCACCGAGTGCAGCCGTAAGTGCCGGCCAGCTTCCACAGTGACTCTGGGGAAGCAGCTCCATGCTGAATTCCACACCCACTCTTAGGCTATGACTGGGATTCATCATCCATAGGCAGAGATACACGTTCAGCAAATGTGCTGTCCCACATAGGTGCAGAGCACACGAAGTACCGGGCATCAAACATGACACTTTCTATTGGAGCTCACAGTTGTGTCCCCGCTCCCAGGTGCTTAATTATTAAATGTACTAAAACTAATTTTGATACGGACCTAAAGACGTGTAAGAACAATCTTTTGGGGAGTCCAGGTTAAGTGTCTTTAAGTTCGCTTTTCTATTGCTGTGGTAAAACACCATGACCAAAAGCAGCTTGAAAAGAGTTTGTTTGGCTTATAATTCATCGTCAAGGGAAACTGAGGCAGAAGCTGATACAGAGACGATGGAGGAACCCTGCTTAATGCCTTGCCCAGCCTGCTTCCTTATACCACCTGGGAGCACCTGCTGGGGCTGGGCCCTTTCATATCAGGCACTAATCAAAAAAAAAAAAAAAAAACCACTACAGTCTGGTGAAGGCATTTCTCAATTGAGGCTCCCCTTCCCAGGTAACTAGCTTGTGTCAAGTTAACAAACAGTGAAACAACCAGGCCAGATGGTGGTGGTACACACCTTTAGTCCCAGCACTTGGAAGACAGAGGCCAGCAGGTCTCTGTGAGTTCGAGGTCAGCCTGGTCTACAGAGTGAGTTCCAGGACAGCCAAGGCTATACAGAGAAACACTGTCTCGGAAAAAAAAGAAAAAAAAAACAACCAAAATGAGAAGTTTCTAGTTGCTTCTAGGTCTAAGGGGGAAGTTGTAGAAATAAGCAGAGTTTGGACTTTATTCGATGAGACATTTGAGGTAGAAATTACATCCTACGGTTTGCACTGTGGGTAAGTCATCCTCGGCTGCATGAGTGGGGCAGGGCACAGCCAGGAGATACTGTGCAGACAGCTGCCACAAAGACTTCCACAACTGCTTGGGTCTGCAGGAACAGGACAAGCGCCTAAGTCACTGCTTCAAACCTGAGGACTGGCCATTTTCTGAGTTGGAGAACCCTGCCAAGATTCTAGCTTGGTCAGGGCAGGTATGAGATGTCCTGTTGAGCAGGTTGTGTACTGGAGCAGCTGGTATTGCTGTAGCAATGAAATTCTTAAGGTAGTCTAAGAGAATGTAGGTTAGATGGAGAGGGGGCCTGAGGCTTGCCCTGACAGAGTGAGCTAGCTCCCTGTGGGAAGGGAAGAGGGGTAGTGAGGCAGAGAGAAAGGCAGGAGCCCGGGGATGTGGGATTCACATTCAGTAAAGCAAGCAGATTCACAGTGGAGACAGGAGTTAAGAGCTCTTAAAATGGCAGAGAAACCCTATCGCGATGAAGAGTGATGTGTGTTTGCTTTAGTAGCTTTGATGTTGGGAATTCTGCAGGTCATGACTGGTGGAGCAAAGAATGGTCTAAGAGTAAACAAGAGATGAAGAAAAGCACTAATGGAGGGAGAAATGATGTAGTTGTACTTTAACTTCTAAAAGGTGAAAACAAATCACACACAAATAAGAGCAGTTACCCCCAAAAAATAAGTAATAAAAGTAATTTTTAAATAATTTTTTAGAGACAGACAAGTGTAGGCAACTCGAAAAAAGTTTGATTGTGAAGAGTCAGAAGTAGCCAGAGGCCTGGAGAGGTTGCTCAGCTGTTAAAGAGTCATTGTTGCTCTTGTGGAGGACCCAGAGGTCAATTCCCAGCACCTACCGGGTGGTTCACAGCTATCCCTGACTCCAGTTCCAGAACATCCATCCTACAGCCTCTTCTGAACTCCGTGGATACCACGCACACACACGGTACACAGCCATACACTCAGGCAAAACATACACTAAATAAATCTGAAAAAAAAATGTTGGGGAGGACTGTTATGTCAGCCACGGGTTGTGATTTATATGTTCATCCTTGTTCATGAGGTAAAGGAGCTTGAGAGTTTGTAAATAAAGAGGGGAAGAGCCCACAGGGAAGGATCGTCAAGGAAAAGACAAAGAACAACGAAGATCCCGAAGACCCAGTACTCTAGGCAGAAGAGGAAAGGCTGAGCTCACACGAGGGAGGGGCTCCATCTGTTACAACAGGAAGAGGCTTGGTGTAGAACATTTGCACCTGGTGACAGGGAGGCTGGAGACAAGGCAGGGACTGATGGCAGATTTGAAGAGGCAGGGGAAGTTTGGTTATCAGAAGGTTTGGGAGGGCTGGAGTGATCTAGTAGCAAGACAAGCAGGTCAGCAGACAATCCCTCTGAGGCCGACGGCTCCAGCAGCTCAGCTGCCCACTCCTGTCCAGGCTCAGGTGAGGGATTGTTCGAGCAGAGGAGCAAAGGAGTCAAGAGCCCGGTCCAAAGTGGTGCACCGTCAGAGACGAAGGACAAGAGACCAGTTAGATCCAGCCACTTGAGAAGGGGAGGAGGTTGGGTCTGAGATCTGGGTGTTCCGAGGTGAACTTCAGGCTCATGGGTAAGGTAGAGAGTGGGGGGAGTAGAGGTGAACGCCCTGAGAGTATTAATACCAGGGCCAAAGAATTAAGTTGGACATTGGTGTAAGTGAAGCGACCCAGGACGTGGGCAGCTCTAAGGGAGCAAGGGGCCTGGGGATCAGAAGATGGGGAGCACCAGAAAGGGGAAGGGAACATGGCAGAGTGTCTGTCTTCTCTAAGGCCTATGTGCAGGAGGCAGAGGAGGGTGCTCAGGTAGGAGGAGGGTCCATCCCCCTCTCTGGACCCTTGGAGAATGTGGGTGAGAGTCAGCAGCCTCACCTCTCAGCCCTGCAGGGAGAGCAAAGTAGGTGTTGAGTTCTGAGTAGCAGGTGCTGTTGGGGATGGGTGCTGAAACTCAGACAGACAGGTTTGGACTGGGTGCATGGACTTGGGCTGACAGGCGCTTGCTGGATGAACCAGCCTTCCGTTCACTCTGCATGCTGGAGTTCGCAGTTTCCCAGGACCTGTGGAAGGATTTGAGCTCAGCTTAGTAGTAGGGTTAAGTCAGCTTCAGGAGGAGCAGAACACTTGATGGCATGCTGGAGTGATACTCCGTCCTTGAAGGAATGAAGATGAAAATAATGACAGGCACAGTGGATTTTTCCTCAGTAGTTTTTGAATCTGCAAACCAGGCCCATGTCCTCATCACTTCTTTCCTTCCCAAAATTTCCATCAGGGTGAAGTGTCCATAAGCCTCCGGTCTCCTTCAAATAAGTCCCTGCGGGCCCTGTGCGGCTCTGAATCTTTAATACTAAGCTATCCTACCTCTCTCTGCCTGTCACCTCTTCCAGACATGTTAACTTCTTAGCCTTAGTTTCCCTGTCTATAAAATGGGGCTATTAAAATGCACCTGTCTCTCCTTGCAAGGAAGGGATGGCTTACATACAAGCACTTTCCACATTGTGAAACCTTGAATGTGAGGGAGTTTCCTTGTTCATAACCCCCAGTGTGCCTCAGGCACTCCCACAGCTCTCTCTCAGCCTTCAAAAGATTGAGTCTCTGCCCCAGAGGGGGTTATAATTTTGCTTCGAAGAGAGACAAACACATCCAAAACAATTAGAGAGGAATGCACAGCTGGGCCCTCGTAAGTGGAAATTGTTAGGCGCCTACAATAGGAGCTCTGAGGTCAGAAAATGAACAATTAGCCAGGGTTTGGGGAGCTTGGGAGGGTTCCTGGAGAGGGTAGTGTGGAAGGTGCCCAGATTGCTCACCCAGCCTGAAGAGGACATTTGCAGATAGGTCCGCTCTTTTGTGACCACAGTGTGACATAGATCTATGGATCGATCTTAGGTCATGGGTTTCATTATACCCTTTTTGATCAGCCTATTGCTACTTGTGGGTCCCTAGCCCCTCAGGACTTACAGCTTGGGCCACATGGCAAATCAGAGCATTTACACTGTACCTCTCATGTTTGGCTTTCCTGTCACTTTTTTGGTGAAGAAACCTAAGATGATGCTGCACACACTTCCTGTACACCACAGGGCCTCTGTTGTTGTCTGCCTCTGCATCTCTAGCCAGGACCCCCTCGCCAACCTACCAGCCCAAAGTTGACCCCTACCTCATTGGTTCGGTCAGATCCAGCCCATGTGATCCTCAGTGCAATGAAGACCTCCTTCCTCAGTGGCAAGCCTCCTAGCCCACGGCCTGCTTGGTAGTTTTACCTCACTCTGCCTTTCACCTGTAGGCCTAGGCAAGGGCCCAGCATGGCTAAGGGGCATACACAGCCAGCATCAACAGCCAAAGTCCCCAGTACGTGCTGTGAATCTAGGTGGTTGTAGACAGTAGCAAACTTACAGTTATGAAGTAGCAATGAAAATACTTCTACGGATGGGGTCACCTCAACATGAGGGACTGTATTAAAGGGTCACAGCATTGGGAAGATTGAGAACCACTGTTTAGATGGATAGCAGTGTTTTGCTAATCTGTTCATCTCAAATGGGACTGTAAACACACCTGTCATTGGATGAAGTAGTAACTATCAGTTGAAAGTGTAGAATCTTGGCACTGGAATTCTTAGAATTCTATTTCTGAGTCCTTTGAAACTGGCGATTGAGGAGGGAAAGACCCTAAAGTGACTTATCAGAGGCCACAAACCACAAATGCTGTCTGGAATAGTGAACAAGCAAGTCACAGGTAAAGTCACCTGGCTGTAAAGCAGATGATTTTCTCTGAGGGTGACTTGTCACAGAGGAAAACAGAGAGCCTTGTCACCAGAGGTAGGCGCTAGAAACAACTGTCGTGACTCTCAGGGGACTCGGTAACACAAGCCCCCGGGTCTGTGAAGTCTGGCCTGTACCTGACGTTGTGGTGGTGGACAAGGCCAGCCATCTGCAGGCTGCCTCTATTAGGGTTTGGGAAATGAAACACTCAGTAAGGAGAAATGCAAAATCATCGTCTTAATTACCATCAAGCTGAAGCATCCTGTTCAGGAGGAGAGGCCTAAAATCACAGCGTGGAGCATGAGACGGCGCTGTTAATACGATTATCGGAGTGCAAGCCTGTTAGAGCTTGATTGCTGGCACCGTCCCTCACAGAGCTCCCGGATCCAGAAACCATCTCAACTGTAAACACAACTGTTACAAAACAGCCATTTCCAAGAGGGATAGCAAAAATCTGCTAACCTTTACCAAAGGCCAAAGCTGTCTGGCTAAGAGGAAAGAGAACATTTCTGGAAAATACAAACTGGACAACAACTCTGATCGGCTCTTCTGGAGAAAGTGTGTCTGGCTGCAA